TATTCACTGTCAATGAGAAGATGACATTGAATCCTATGAGAGTAGCAAACAGAAAAAACCACACCTATTGCAATGGAAGAACTCTTTCTATCAAGAAACATATTTACCTAAAGTTACTACCTTTTGTACAAATCTAGATCTTCCATTTTTTAATTAAAAATATACATATAAAATTTAAGAATATTAATGCCCATTAAGATCTTTAAAACAACATGAAAAATAGGACAGCAGAAACACCTGCATGTAATCTAGAGAACCACCTGAGTGTGATCCCTGGAATAAGCACGAATCATATTATTTTATTGTTTTTCATACCTATGGTATGAATTGCCTTCAGCTTGATTAAGTTGCTACACTGAGATTCCTGCTTGTTAGTGGTGACCATTGCGGTATGAATTAACTAACTGTGACTCTGAGCAAGGCTATCATCTACTTAAAAGTATGCAACAAAGACAAATCATTAGAGACAATGCACTATAAAGATGCACAGAATAGGCATACAAGCAATTCGAACAATCTTAGCAGAGCAGTCAGGATCTGAGTTTTCTGCAGAGACATTGGGTTAGAAAAAGAATAGAAGCTGGGGCTTCACGGGACAAATCTCCAGACACTGAAACTAAGGGAGTAGATAGGAGACGTTAATAGATATTGTGGTCTTTGATTTGTTTAGATGCTTTATTAAATAAAAGTAAAATATCATGCTACTTAAGAGTAGGATCGAACAATAATATATTTCTAAATATATTTTACAGGACAATAAACAGGGTAGAATATGAAAAAGCATGTGCTTACAGAGAGAATATTTATTTACTTATTTGAAAATTTATTTTATTCAGTGTACATTGGTGTGAGGGTGTCAGATCCCTTGGAACTAGAGTTGCAGACAGTTGTGAGGTGACAGGTGGGTGCTGGGAATTGAACCGGATCCTCAGGAAGAACAGTCAGTGCTTTTAACTGCTGAACCATTTCTCAGGAAATGGTTTAAACAGGAGTTTTAAAGAGACTGGAAGAGACTTTCAAGCACAGATGCTAGGTATAAAGAGGACAAAGACACTGATGTAAAGATGAAGGTCATCTAGATTAAATAGGCAAAGCGTAGAGGGAGAAATTAACAGACCAGCTATCACTCACAAAGCAGAATTTGGCTGCCATGGGTACCCACAACACCCCTTCAAAGAGTTACAGCCCTCTCTATTTGTTGCTCTTCTTATCACTATGGGAGACAGCTGACGGAAGCAACTGGAGGGAGGAAGGCAAATTTTGGCTTGCGGCTTCAGGGAACGCAATCCATCATGGTGAGATGAAATGCCACTGCGGCTTTCTTCATGGCTGTGAGAGATTCACAGTAGTAGACGATAGCTCATTCACTTTATGACTGACCAGGAGGAAATTACATAGTTGGAACCAGAAGCGAATACTACCTTCCAGGTTCACCTCTACTCATATTTGGCTAGCTAGACCACAGCCATAAGGTGTACACAACCTCCCAAAGCAATATGTCACCTGGCAACACATTGAAACTCAAGAGCCTGTTCAGGGGACATTTCACCTGCACACCATAGTACCCTCTCACCTGACTCTTCCCCTCAGAAACTTGAATGCAAGCTCTATGAAATAAGAATCTAACCTCTTTTATGTACTGTTAAATTGTCAGCACCGAAAACAACACAAACTGGCATCACAAAAAATTCCCGTCAACATTTATCACTTCAAAATATAAATGTAAAATTGAAATATAAAGTTCAATTTTGTATCGGAACATTTGCTGGTCATCCAGATAACAGAATTGAAAAGCTGAGTTGGATGCACAATGGTTTGAAATCAAATACACCTAGTTCAACAGCTCTTTACAGTTACTGAATGAGAATAAATGGCTCAAGTTTTCTGGATTTCTGTCTCTAGTTAGAAAGAATGCTATTCAGTTGTTTCTGTAGGGTTTAGATATGGTGGATATGTACCAGTATCCACCCAGGCACATATGGATTACCCAATCTATAATCTGTAATGGCCATTAACTAAGAATGGGTAATCTTCCATCGTGTCTTCAACTAAATCTGTTCACACCTGAATTATAATACTAAGGACGGGACATTATATTAGATAATAATATAAAATGCCCAATTTTTTCAGTGGATAGAGCTGTCTGCTATCTGCTTATTCAATATCTTGGAAAATTCTGCTATTAAAACTAACTCAAAATGCTAAGTGAGTAAAATTTCCATTTGTATTAAACTCTAGTACTATCTCTTAGTATCGATGTTGTAAATGCAGTGTTTGTTTTAATGGTATTTACATTAACATTTACCTTCTTTTTCAGTTATACAATCTGTGAACAGATGAGAAAGTTTGTTTGTATGCACATATTTTTGGTATCTAATAGACTATCTTAAGCATACATGCTTGTCCTATGACAAAGCAAAAAATATGGAAGCTATAATGTGTGTAGTATTAGGAAAGTTGTTATTAAGAAGAATATAATGCCTTTCATATAATGTTATATTTAAGAAAATTCCAGATTTATATTAGGAACTGTTTCGTTAAGTAGTTTGATAAGTTTGATATATATTAAATTAGGAAAGAAAGTTGAGCTATAACTTTTATGATATCAAAAGTAGTTACTACTGCCTTGCATTATAGAGTCTAAACTATGAGTTTTTCCTTATACTCCTGATTCCAGACACAAGTATCCATAGGACTTTTTTTTTTTTTTTTTTTTTTTTTTGCTAGTCCACTGCACTCTCTGCGTAGCACAGTGTGCAGGACAAAGAAGAGGTTGATTTGATTGCAGATAAGTAGGTATCACACTCTTCTGCAAATACTAGTCTGTTTATACAGACAGAAATAATAAAGAATGCAGCCAGGGTGGATTTCACAGTATATTCTTAGATAATAGTGACACTACGAAAATTTAATTTTATCAAGGTATCATATTGCAATGTGGAAACTTTGCAATAAAGTTTCCTAAGGCAGTAAAATCAAAATCCTAGTCATATAAAATAAACAAATTGCTGTATTTTGTTTTCATTTTCTTCCCAATTGGTTGCTGTGACTCAGCTGCAGAGCAATTGTGAATTATGAAGAGTAACTTTGGGATTCATCACCCAAGAGCAATGGTAGACACACACACACATACAGATGCATGCATACATACATAATAAAGTAAATCTTTTCTTTACCAATTGCATCAAGATTATTAACATACTTGAACTTGAATAGAGGCATCTAGTTAAGTAGCACAAGACATTTATAGAATGTACAATTATTCATGTTAGAGAAAATGATATTTTTAGAGAAAGCATGCCTGCCTTATGCATATAATAACAAACCCTGATTCTATTTTCAAATATAGGAAATAAAATGTTTTGTCTTCTAAAATTATATAAAAGCTATATTTTTAAAATATATCTTTCTTTACCAATTAAGAGAGTCTGTATAAGCAGGATACTATTTCACTAAGTATTAATTCATGTCCACCAAAAATAAGAACACATTATTCTATTTTATTAGATAATGTTGGTCAAACATAGCTATTTTAAAATTCCAATATAACACTGAAATTTTAGCAAAGGCAGTAACAGCAAAATATTAGTCATAAAGAATGAATAAATTGTTACATTTTCTTTTTAATTGGTTGCTACAGTTTAGACTCAGAGGAACTGTGAATGGGAAGCAGGAAGTCCCTCCACCACTCCTGCGCAGACCACCGAAGCAGCAACATGTAAGCTGACATCTGAAAAAGGTACCAAGCCATATGGCTAACACAGACAAGAATTATGGGTTACCGTGAGATGTAAGAATTAGTTAATAAGAAGGCTAAGCTAATGGGTCAATCAGTTTATAATCTTATGGAGTCCTGTGTGTGATTTTCTTTGTGGCTTGCCGGTTGTGGGGTACCGGGCAGGAACAGATACCCCAACAAGACGGCCCTCAAGCTACAGAATTATGGAGAGCAACTTTGGGAATCATCGACCAATAGCCATGGCAGACATACACACAAATGTGTGCATGAACACATGATTAAACTTTTTCATTACCAACTGAATCTAAACTCATTAACATACTTAAAATTATAGTCATTCATAAATATTGGTATTGCAGTATTATAATAACTTTATAACTTTGTATTCCAGGATTGTCTTATTCTTTTCCTTCTGAATTTATTTTTATTTAATATATATTATTACTTACAGTTGTGCAAAATAAATCACATAATTCTGAGATTTTCATGCATATATAAATTCACTTTTTTTAAGTAGTATAAATTTACTACTTATTTTCTCTTCATGAACGGTTCATTGGTGTTATTGAGAATAGAAGTACTTGATCGAGTACATTTTTTAATTCTCAATAAGTAATTTTATAGCTTATAACCAAAGATATAAATTAAGTAGTCTGCTAAGGAAAAACAAGTGCCATCAAGTGGAAACCATGGGGCTATAGTGATTTAACTAAGGTGGATGACAGTAGACCCCAAACAAAATGACAAAAGGAATAAAAACAAATGAAAACAATGACAACCCCACCCTCTCACAACAACAACAACAACAACAACAACAAGAAAACAAAGCAACCAAGCAAAGTAGTAATTGTCAGCTGAAATTCCAGAGACATTTTAAGATTTGTATAGTAAGACATCCCAGCAACAGCACGCTGGGAAGTAGCTGAGCGGGCAAGCAAATCACCGCTATTAGATCCCATTCATGATTTAAATTCTGCTATTTTATCTCTTCATAACATGCAGTACTTTTTCAACCTCACATTTCCAGGCATTTCAGCTCCTGCTGACATAAGTGCTTTCCCAAAATAGAATGCCACAGCAATCTTCTGTGAGACATCGACGCCCATTTGTGCACGTACTTTTTAGGATACATTTTTTTTTTTTTGAACCTCTTAACTGTGAGAGGGCCTGGAAGGTAGGCTCAGAATGAATGAGACCTTGTTTTCTGAAACGACACTAGACATTTTATCTCTGCTTAAAAAAAATAAACATAGTCTCCTACCTTAAAAACAAACATCTCCCGTCGAAGAATAGCTAGAGTGTTGAAGTTCCCATCACAGATGTTGGGTTTGGCTCCTGGATAGGAAGGCCTGCCAGTGGGAGGCCGGGGAGGTTTTGGCCTGTCATTTTTCCTTGGGTCAACCGGAGGAACAGATCGGTGAGGGGGCACTGTCGGCAGAGGTCTTGTAGGTGGAGGGATCTTGTCAGGAGGACCTTTTGAAAACATGAGGACAGGGCTTGGCTCACTTAAAACTGGAATAGCGCTGAAAGGTACACTACAGAGAACAAGTGCTGATCAGCAGAGGGCACAAACTAAGAGGTCGTTGAGATCGTATATCTTTGAAAACCCAAACTCTCAAATCCTCCCAAGCGCCAGCAAGAGTGTCTCAGTCATGAGGCTGGAGTCCAGCTCCTAGTACTATGATTTCTTTGTTAATTTTTAGTTAGTTTTATTTTAACCCAGTCACTGTTGGAATGTTGCTCTCAAAACCAGTACGGAAGTAGGTTTTTCATGAAGAAAAAAAAAATACAAGTATGAGAATAAATACTGAACTAATAACTAGGAGCTTCATTCAAGGGGAAACTGGACTTTGACAGATGCTGATTCTACGAAAATATTTCCAAAGATAAACACTAGCAAATCAAAGGTTATTCTACCGTATGTCGCCAGCTACCTATTATAAATTTTTACTGATTTCACTATTTTATTTTAATGAAATGTCTTGAAAAATAGTTTAGTGTTTCATTTAAATACTGAATCTAAAGTGTCCATTGATTAACATACAACAGGTGAAATATTAATGTAAGGTATTTCTGAATAGAGGCTTCCAAATCAAGCCAAAGTTTACTCATGTAATTTGCAACAGATGTTAGCCATCATTCCTCAAGGGACTGATGTGTTTTCTCTTTAATAAATAGAGTTGTTCACACTTAATATTTAGATATGGGATGGATAATCTTTCACAGCCATTCAGTCTAGACTACTAATTCTTGAAGTAATGGGAAAGAGACGTCTTTGATTTAACCACGTGGGAGGAATTTCTGATGACAGACACAGGCAATGGATAACTCTGTCAATATCAAAACTCTTTGGATTTGTGTCTCTGACACATATCAGTATATCCAATCCAATCTCAAATTTACTTTAATCCTAAAAGAATGTTTATGACTACATTATTAAAATTGAAAACTAATGTATGCAAAACAAATTAATGCTCATGAATTACACTGTTTAAAATGTAAATCATCCCTTCTGGATAGAGACTGTTGACAGACTGATAGCACACACTTACCGTCGTGAAAATGAAAGTTTTCTTTCCTTAGTCTTGCAAAGAATACCTGCTATCGGTAAATTATGAATGTCAAAATCTTAATAATATGTGAAATGAATGTCTTTACAAAGGTCATGGGTTGTACTCAGGAAGATATGGTCACAGTAAATATGCATGATAACCTCCCCTTTTTCTTAATTTGCATTTTCTGAATAAACCCTATAAGTAAAAATGCTACCAAACCAGAAGTGCAGTTTAGAATATTAGAAATGTAATCCATGCAATCTGTTGATAAAAACTTAGCAACTTATTTGCTTTCCTTCCCTTGTTGCTGACTTTCATCCTGACTAAATAATTATACCTTTGAGTTAAATACATTTTTATGTTGAATAACTTATTTTCTTGATCTTCAAAGTTAACTTGTCTTAGAATTAACAGGAATTTTAAACACTAATTCCAGTTGTCAGTAGATACGAAAGTTTCCTTATATTATGTGTATTATGTGACATTTTATACTTTTAACTACTTTTATGAGTTTATATATTTATTTTAATGTAATGCTACCTAAATTTTACATGTTTATATTATTAGAGACTTATATGAGTTTCCACTAAACACAACAAGAAAGCTCCATCAGTGATTAAGTCTTTCTAGCAATCTATATATTAAGATTTGGGGGACTTGCCAATACAACTTGACTTGTGGAATTTTGCCACTACAACAGAACACTTTTCTTCTATCTTTCTCTGTGTTATATGCTTAAAGACTCTACCTCCAAGGAAAACAAAATGCACATGACTTCCTGTTGCCACATACAATGAGGAATGCAGGAACAGTTGAACCTACCATATATTTTCTGGATGCCCTGCAAATCATCATTAGGAAGCTTGAAGTTGTCCGTTTCCATGTACTGGTAAAATGGCGCCATGATAGCAGTGGGGTCATTGGAATGCTCCAGCCCGAGAGCATGACCCAGCTCATGAACTGCTACCAGGAACAAATCATTTCCTGCCAAATGAGGAGAAGAGAGGTTAAGACTATTGCAAGTGATAGCCAAGGAATGGAAAACGGCAACTTAGTGTTTTCAGTACATTAACCCAGAAAAATAAAAGGACCTTTACTCCAATGGTCAGTTTGATTTTTAACACTGGCTTTTCTACTGGCAAGTATTTGCTTTAAAATATTGAGATGGATGATAGTCATGGTGAAATTACAGATGCTTAGAGAGTAGAATTTTTAAAAAAAGGACCAGCAATATCAAACCCCAGTATCTCTGGTGTTAAAGGATCTTTCCAATTATAAGGTAAAATACATAACTTTTCATGTTCTAACCACTACATTTAACACAATTTTTGCAATAATACCAAGTAGAGCAAATGTAAAAACCCCACTTTACATAAGAAACCAACAAGGAACAGAGGATTTGCTTGTCTGGAACAGAAGACCCGGCAGATATATTGTTATAAATTAGACCCATGTTATTGTGACTCCTTTATGAGTTCTAATATCTTGCTACCCAAGAATAAAGTAACACTGTAACTTAAAACATCAATTTATTAGCCAGCACACTGATTACAGTTGTAGCATTAGTTTAATAAATACTAATTCTAATCAATGCATAGATTATCTGAACAAAATGCATTTACTTTGCAACTTTGATCTCTCACTGAGAATTTTCACTTAGGTGAACTTGTATAATTTATTCCATAAAATGTAAATTCAAGAGAAGTAATATTCTGGTCATTCGACTTTCTCCTACTTTCTTTCATTTTCCTCCTTTGTCCTCTTCATTTTCATCCTTCTTTAATTTTTTATTTTATGTTTAAAGACAGATCTCACTATGTATCCCACGGCCCACTCTCAACTCATGGGCTTCCTGTCTCAGTCTCTAAAGTGCTAGGATTCATATATGTAACTTGGCTTTCCAAGGATTGCATTTACCATGGAACTGATTAAAGATATTGGAGAGGAAGAGCAACACTTTCCTTGGAGGACTTGTTTTGAATGAAGAAAATTTCAATAAACATAACTTTCAGAAAAAAACCTTAAAAACTCTTTTACACAATTTAAAACAATTTATTGAGCCCCCTCTGAGAATTATATATTTTTGACACAAGTAGGAAAATAAGAAGAATATTTGCATTCCAGAGTAGTGTGTCTCAGAATGAAAGAGGTCAAGTGGCCAATTCTCATTTAGTATTGCCACACTGAGGAAGAAGGAGCCACTGAATGGTTTTTAATAAAACATCAGTTTATTTCTAAAAGTATTGAATAGAGACTGGTGTCAAAATTTCAAGGCGTTTTTAAAACAAAAACGATAATGAATGTTTTCAAACTTAAGGAACTTATCTTCTTTTCTTATAAAATTAACTAATAATAAAAATTAAGTTATGAGAGAAAAAATTAACTACATAGTAACTACAATGGAAAAATACTATATATCTTTACTAGATGCTTAGTCTTCCGTAGATTTTTCAAAGAGTTTACCCACACTTTCTTATTTCATTTAGTAAACTTTACGTGATTTGATCACTTATTGTTATTTCCATTTTAGTAAATATGAAAAGGACTAGTGATAGTTTATAAGAATTTCAGTGTCATACAGTAAAATAAGCATGCAGATGTCTCTCAGGCCACTTGCTGAGTGCTTACTTTGAATCACTAAAGTAAACCACATGCATACAGCCATATCAGCATTCCTAAGCTTTACAATGTGGCAATGTGAAGGCAGCCTCATTCACAAAGTGATTAATTATTGCACAATGGTTTAGTTATATTTCCTGTGTGTTAGGTTCTTTCGTAGGCTTTGACAATGAATACTGAACAAAATAGACAAGAAACAAACCAGCAAACAAACTATTTACTTCGCAGCATTTATGTTGAGGTGGAGAAGAGTAGATTGAAATAAGGTAAACAAGGAAAGAATATAGGACAAGAATGACACGAACAATATCAAAGCACAGAAATAATGAGGTTAAAGAGAAAAATTTAGAGCAAATATGGCATTGTAGATAACAATAGTGGAATGCCTGCTAGTCTAAAGAAGATGGCACTGAACATTTCTGGGCAGACAAGGAACACGATTTCATTTCAATTGGACAGAGTCACTCTGTGAATTACTCTATAGCATCAGTTGCAAGACACAAGAAACAGTGTGGGAGCTGTTGCAGAGCAATCACCTCTAAGATAAAACATTTCATAGGAAAGTTCTTTCAGATTCAGAATCTTCTTAAAGCAAGTTGAAGCATCCAGCTCGCAAGCAATTTCATTAAGACTCAGGAATTTAGCAACTCAATGTTTTCAGGAAATCCTTGGTCAGATTCATTAGTCCTTTCTCTCCCCAAGCTTATATAGTAGTGAGAATTGCTTAGAGACACTTAGACTAGGAGAACTACCTAGAAGATGCTCAGACCAGCTGAGATACCTGCAACAAACAGAGTAACCAAGCTGCCTAGAAAAGACTATGACCAACCAAACTGCCCGAAAGAGACACCCTTCAATCTGTCAACGTGCCTGCAAGTTATGGAATGAAGTCTTGTTTACAGCCTCCAAGGGTCATGACCTATGCTGGGATGGTCTTTTGTCAATGCTACTGTTTTAAAGTTATTTCTTCTTTTCTAAGAAACTTCCTCAAAATCACTGGTTCACCAAACTACACTTTGGGAATATTGTTCCTTTGATCTGTAGTCGACTTCCTTTCTGGAATGAGTAGCTTTTGTTCAAGTCTCACAAGGGTCTATTCACACAACAGAAAGTGATACGGAGATAAAAACAGAAAGAAAAGAGGATGACACATACCACGATTCTAGTACTTCTAGAGGAACATGGAGGAGAAAACTGACATTGTGGCCAAAAAAAAAAGAATATAGAGATTAAGACAGTTTTAAGGACTGTAAAAGAAAGTACAGTACAGTTAAACTCCATTCTCTGTTGTTAATCAAAATTAACATGTAGATAATGTTGACTAGCAAGGGAATATTAATGACGGTTTATTCATAATTTCTCTGATAAAATTTTCAGAAAAGATGAGAGAAGGAGTGAGGGAAAGAAAGACACACACAGAGAGAGAGATAGAGAGATAGATAGATAGAGAGAGAGAGAGAGCAATTTATGTAATCAGAGGACAGGCAGAAAGGAGTGTCCTGTAATACAACAGGAGTGTGGAGAGGTGAGAGGTTTGGATGAGTAGTCTTCAAATATAGACATTATAATCAGTTTATAGAAAGTTAAAGAAAAAACAAAGAACTTGACTGATGACAATGACAAAGAATTAATGCAAGGGATACAGAGATAAAAATATGGGCTGTGGCAGAATAGATAACTTTTCTTATCTGCTTTTATTTAAGTCTACCATTTAATACCATTTAATACTATTTAAGTCATTTCCCCATTGTCTACCAGTAAATCCCGGATCCTTGGAGATAAAACCAAGAATACTGGCACACAAGTCTCTGTCCTGACATTCCAAAAATACCTCTTCTCTTCTTTGAACGTTTTCAAGTTAGAGAAATATAAGCTTGTTCTTGTTTGGTTGAAAGTGAGACCCCAGCCCCCTGACACCCCTATATCCAAGGAGTCTGGGATGATTGGAAGTGTCACTCCAGTCCCTGGCATCCATCCTTGGGGCGCCAATGGAGCACCAATGGAGCAGAAAGCTCCATCTCGGGCCCCCTCTCCTGTCAGTTGCCTTGGGCTGGACTCCAGAAAGCCTGCCAAGCCCTGACCCATCACCAGGGAGGGTCAGGACCACTCCCACAGGCTATTTAGGCTCGTGCATGAAATAGGAAGACTTGGTTTCAGGTTTTGCATGTGCCCTCCCTCTCTGTTTTTTCTCCAACATGCTCCCAGTCACCTGAGAGCATGGCGTTTATTAAACTTGGGCATTTTTGATTTGGTCTTATCCAGCTTAACTGGAGTTATTTTGCATTGGTGGCAAGGCTCTTCTTATAATTTTTTCTTAACAGATGGAGGTTTCCCACCGAAAAGGTCTGTTTTTCCCACGGGCCCAGGGCTCAGAGCCGCATGCTGGAAAATGTCCTTCCCGCATGTCCTCAATGCCAGGCAAGATCATCTTCACTCAGTGAGTTCCCCTTTTTTGCTTATGGCAGAGGGTTCCGGGGGTAACTTATTCGCTTTGCAGGTTCGCTGAAGTCGTGGTCTGCGCCAAAAGCTTGACCCATGTGGCGAAAACCTGGGGCTTTCGATGAGGTGAAGATTGCATGGCCAGGGACGTCTGCCATTCAATTTTCACAGCCCCAGTTTCGGCTCAAGGATTGTCCTGGCGGATAAGCTGTGATAGACTTGAGCCACACAATTGGCATAGATTTTAAAATGGGTTTCTTGAAATTCCAAGCCAATTCCTGAACCGCCCTTTGGCGGCCTTTTACAAAAAAACAAAACAAAACAACAACAACAACAAAAAACTTTTAAATTGGGGCTATCTAATGTAAATTGACAATTCTCCAAAAGCCCGCTTTCCTAAATGCACACTTCCTCAGCCTTGCTCGCTCCCTTCTCCCTGCTTCTCTAAGCTATTCGCCATTGGTCTCACTCTGGGCCCCTCCCCCTCTAGTTGTTTGTTCTGCTTCCCTGACAGGATTAACAACATGGGGATTTTAAATTGGTCAGCTGACACAGGTTTCTAAAAGTGCTTTATTTGTCTGTCTGTTAGAATAATGTTGCCACAGTATGTCTGTATGAATGTGTAAACATGTTTTCGCGATGAACTTGATTTATATTTCTGTGTGCATGTGTGCTTGTTTAAGATCAATAAAACTTCAATCTCCAGATTACAGCAGCTCTCGAAAAATACAAACACACGGGTAGTAGCCATTTTAATTTCTCCTCCATCTTTGGTAATGGTACCCACATGTGCTAGTCTGCCACCTTTGGTAAGGGTACCCTCATGTGCTAGTCTGCCATCTTTGGTAAGGGTACCCACGTGCGCTAACATTCTTTGACTTATTAAACTTTTACTTTTAATCTTCTTACATTTACTAGCATTGATA